TTTTTTGTTCCTGTCTTATTAGGTTATTCCTTTCTTGAGCATGTGCAAGGGACTGGCTTCTTGACCTAGATGGCTATTTACAATCTGCCTACTAATGATTTTCTGTCTTAGATTGCAAAAAACTTGATTAGAAAATGCAAATTCAATTAATAGATTTTATGGAATATTAGAAAGTCATGGGGAAGGTCATTGATGGTGTAGGATCACTGTAATAACACAATATGACTTTGCTGCTTCTCCTCTCTCTAATGTCTTGTTAACTTTTTGGAGAATGGAATTCTGTTTTCTAGTTGTTTCCTTATGGTCCGTATCACGCGGTTTTAGGGTTTTATTCCATTTCCACTTTATCTGATAGGATTTCACATTTGTGCCTGCTATTCATCTTCCTGGATAAACCTAAATAGAAAACACTACCTTATATGGACATATAAATCTTTCTGTAATGGTATGTGCATGCTTGAAGAAATCATGTTACATAAACATGCTGCTTCCCATTTTTTCATCTCTCTCCTAATATCTGGATTGATTGACATATAGTGGGCATGGCATAAGCAAAATTTTCTGATTTACTCTCTGCTAATAATTGTGGATAAGATTCATAATGATTGACTTTTAAGCACATATCATGATATTGATAGCACATTTTTCTTACTTCATATATCTCTTTAGCTAATCCATTGACTTCTGGCTAATGCCTTTTATGATATTTCTGGGGTGGTTTTCGTTTGATTTTAATCCAAAAGCATTTTATATGCATACTATTGTAACCTGTTGCCTCTATTTATTGATAACCATCAATACCTAACAAATCCAGTTGCATTTGCTAGGATGTAGGTCAAAAAATCATGATGTTCATGCAACAGAGCAAGCGTGAAATGTGTATTATTTCAGCATCTGGTTCGGTTTCTAATGCATCTTTACGCCAGCCATCAACATCTGGAGGCACTGTTACATATGAGGTAGACACTTTATATTATTTCCCTACGATGCAATGAATTCTCCAAAGAGAGCTTATGTAGACATACCGGTATTGATCTTCTTGTACTACTTGGTATAATTTATCCCACAAACATGTTAGTTTTGTCCTCCTTTCAAACGAATCCAATATCAAAATATAGCACTCAAAATGTATCATAAGCAAAACTATACCCTCAAATATAAGAGTGGACTCTTGAAATAGATATTGAATTTGTGTTTTATGTGATCTTATCCTCCAAACTATAGGTGCTCAGAATCATCAGCAAATTGAGTGTCAACACCCATATCGTTAATGATTGACTTCAAAAGTAAGCAATAATTCCATTAAAATGCCCTACTTTCCAACACCTATAAACACACTTACACCCATCAATACTCGTACTTATATTAGAAAATAGGATATAGTCCACGAAATCCTCAGACTTTTCATCATTAGAGATCCGGAACTTATATATACCTCTGGGGTTTCTATTCTGGATCACGCAGTGGGTCATGTGTCATTGGACCGTCATACACCAGTTTCTAGGAGTGGGCTATGGTCTGGAGCTGGGTCAAGTTTCACCTTCCAGTTGGAATATCGGCCATAATTATTCACTAGATATGAAAAATGGTTATCAGCTCTGCAGATAGATATGTAATGAGAGGTCACTCCTATAAACATTAAATTGTCTAAAGTGTAAGACAGTTTTTGTGAGTAATTGCTTCTTTTGAGTTATAATTGTTATTCAACGAACATTTCCTGCTTTCGATCTTTTTTGAATTCTCTCAGATTGCAGTAATATACCCATACAAACAAGGGGAAAAACTTCCATTTCTAAGTTAATATAATGAGAACTATTTGTAAAACTTGAAAAATCAAAATATGTTATATACCGCTAATAATGCTTAGTCATAAAAATTAGAGCAACAAGAGTAGAACAAAAAATGGGCAGTAGAGCTCATACTAACTACGTGTTTACTGGTGGCTAATGGACTGCATGTGCTCATTCATATGCAACCTATCCTTGGTCATATTTTAAAATTCAATCTGGGGAAAGAATGGTCTCATCTGGTAAGGTTAGTTTCTTACAACAATGGGTAAAAGCATACCAAAGAGATCTGATTATTTTGTATCTCTGTTATGCCACCAACAAGATTTTTTAATGGTAAATCAGTTTTGAGTTGACAGTGCCTAAGAAACATTCTTTGCATATTGTGTTTTCTAATTATTCAATATTATATAATATACATGGTTTACATTTTTAGAATAGCCTCAAGGTTGAGCTGCATTGTTGTAAAATTTGTTCAATAATGAGCAATAAGATGATTTACTATACTTGCTACCTAATAACTTGATTGTAAGCTATTGACAATAATTTCATTGGGGGTCAGTTATATAGCAAGAAAGGCTGGAGAGTTGAATTTTGGCTTTGATATTGTTCTGTATTTCTTTTCACCATCAAGGACAATTCCTAAGTGATTTTGCTGGTCTCAGGGACGATTTGACATCCTCTCTCTATCTGGATCTTATATGTGTACTGAACTTGGAGGTCGAACTGGAGGACTTAGTGTATGTCTGTCTAGTACTGATGGCCAAATCATCGGTGGTGGAGTCGGTGGACCCCTTACAGCTGCAGGCCCCATTCAGGTAACATTTATTTCAAGATCTTAAGTGGGGGAAGAGATCTTTCTTTAGTTCTGCTGTCACTTGCGTTGTGTTTGGATAAAATCCAATAGCACAGTATCCAATTATTTGAGCAATGGAAATCTTTTGTTAATGATGGTTCACGTCATTACTGCCAGTATAAGGGTGCTCCATTTTTTGTTGAATCTAGGGTGTCATTGAAACGTGCTCCTTTTTCATACCTATTATTTTTTTATCAGGTGTGTGGTCATGTTCCTTCCCAATTTTCCTTGCTCTTCTACACTTGTTTGTGCTTATGTGGACCTGTGTACATGGACTGTGGTGATTCACGAATATTTTGCTGATGAAATATTTTATCTCGTGAGCCTTTGTATACTCGCCTTTGATATTAACTATGCAGGATGAAGTTTACCAGAAATCTGGTGTCACGCCTGTATGAAGTGCCCCATGGGTTTTTCTACTTTCTATATATTCCCTAGTTGGGGATCAATATTTTGACACATTGCTGCCTAATAAAGAAGGATGAAAAAACTTTTATTATTTTTATTATCCTAAGCAGGCATAAAATGGGCATGGGCATGGCGTCTAGTCCAATGAAGGACACACACATGAAACTATACATGTTATTTCATTCAAGTTTTTTTAGCACCGTTTACCTAACAGTTGAGGACATTAATGGCATTAATAGGTTATAGTTGGTACGTTTCTAATCGACACCAAGAAGGATATGACTGGTGGAGCTAAAGGTGATGCTACTGCCAGCAAGTTTCCATCACCAATTGGTGGGGCATCAGTTCCAGGTGTAAGCTTCCGAGCACCATTCGATTCTCCTAACCAGAATGTTGGTGGAAATCAATTCATGATTCAGCATAGGAACATGCAGTTCACACCTTCAGATTCCATGGACTGGAGAGGTAAAACAGGTCACGGTGCACTCAATTCTCCAGAAAACGGTGATTATGAGCACATTCCCGAGTAGAGAATGTACCGTTCCAGTTAATATGATGCCCTCTTGAGAGTTGCCATGGTGTACAGGTTTTTATGAGTTTTTCTTTCTTGATGTATTGCTGTAAATTATCTGCCAACTCCTTGCCCTTCAATGCTTGTAGTTTATATCGATGCATCAAGTTGGCCAATACCTTTTAGTACATGAACATTATGTTTGCTATGTAGTAGTGGACAAAGACTAGACAAAACAGTAAATGTGATTTTTAAATCCTTTTTATCTCATATATTATTCTCCAAGTCTTGTGTAACTGTAGCACCAGCTATTTTCAATTACTCTAATCCATTTATCTTGAGATTAGAATAGTTGGGACATGTTTGTTATACAATATACTTGTCAAGAATCGTAGTATTTTAGGCAAGATTTATTTTTTTTTCGTCCTCGACCAGCTTGGTTGAATAAGAGGTCTAGTAATAAACTCTAAATGAAAATAATCTTTTTTTTTTTTCGTTTTCATATCGTTTGTGTATTACTTTACTATATCTCATTCATTCGAGCAAAGAATATTTTACTTGACTTTGATTGAGAATAATAGATATTTTTAAAATAAAAATAAAAACAAGTTTGCCTTGAACTTGCTTGCTTATGGTGTCAATGTTTGGCAATTGTTTATAGAAGTGATAAGTTCAATTACTTTTTATCGCCACATTTTGTAAGATTTACACGTACTATTATTCTCTTATCTCCATTCATTTTTCTTTATTTTTAATTTAATTATCGAAAAATATTTTTTCATATGAAAAATTTGTGGGAGAGAGAGAAATTAGCTTTTTTTTTCATCATAAAAGTCCTACTCTTGTTTTATTAAAAGCCTGTTTGGTAGGGATTTTTGGGGGAAGAATTGATTTTGAATAGTGATATGATGGGAAATGTGTGGTTGAAAAAGAAGAAAAAATGATTGATGTGATGGAAAATATTATTTTATTGAAGAATGTGTGGTTGAAAATGAGAATTGATTTGAGAATTGATTTGAGAATCAGAAATAAACAGGGCCTAAATAAAAAAGTAGGTAAAAGTTTTTAAAAAGAGGAAATTACACCCACAAAGGTTTTTAAGTTACCATTTTCAAAAATACAGAATCAACTTTAATAATACATAAATCAGGTTTTAATTAATAATTTTTAAATTATTTTTTATTTATATCAATCCTACACAAAATCAAACCCCCAATTTCACTCACAATCCCTAATTATTCCCCCCACCCCTTTCTTCTTTCTCTCTCTAAAATTCTAAATCATCTCCTCTATCCTATATACCGGATCATCTACCTGAAGAGGAGCCCACGACGGCATACGGTTTAGGTTTCAGAGATGATGCAGTCGCCCATCGCTGAAGAGGTGCCCACGACGGCATACCTGAAGAGGCGCCCACGACAGCATCTCGCCAATCGCGATGCATTCGGATACAAATCGCGATGATGTATGTGGAGGTGGTAGCAGCGCCGCCCCCTGGAAAGAGATTGCTGGTGAAATTGACCCCAAAATCGCGATGTTGCTGGTTGAGACGGCGAAGATGCTGATTAATTAGGGTTTGTGTTTCCGATCTGCCTTCTTTCTCTTCTCTCTCTCTTCGACACAGCTGCGTTTTGGTGGTTGTGGTGGCGCAGGCGCCGGGTTTTTGTTGTGGTAGTGGTGGTGTTTCGGGCGACAATGGTGGTGGTTCTAGTGCGACCGCAGCGTCGCGATTGTTGGTGGCTATGGTGAGGTTGTGGGGATGGTGTATTGTTGGTGTTGCCGCAGTGGTGTTGCCGCAGTGGTGTTGGTATTGTGGTGGTGCCGACAGTGACGGGGTTTTCTTTTGGATGGTTTTGGATAAATGAGATATGTGTTTTGGTTTTCAATGTGGCAGATATGGTGGATTTGTGGAGATCTGTGTTTTGGTTTTCAATGTGGCAGGGGCGGTACGGTGCTTATGTTGGTGGTAGTGGTGGTTTTGGTGTTGTTGGGGGGTTTTGGTGGTCTGGCTGCAACGGAGTGGGTCTGGTTGTGGCGGCGACTGTGAGGATGGTGATGGTAGGTGGTGACATGTTCAGATTGGTTTGTGGCTGTCGCGGGCGCTGTTGTTGTGACCGTGAGTTTGGTGAATCTACAGGTAGTGACGGTGGCGAAAGGGGTGATGGTGTGGCGGTGATTTGAGGTGTAGTGTACTGGCGGTTGCGCTGGTGGTTGTAGTCGATTCCATTTTTTGGTGTTGTTTGCGTTGTGGTGTGATTTGGGTAGTGGTGGTGGCGCTTTGTGTTGTTGAGGTGGCGCTGGAGGTGGTGCTGGTGCGGCTGCGGTGGTTGTGTAGTGATTTGGGATGGGGTTGTGGATGGATTAATTTGAGCAATGGAAATCTTTTGTTGATGATGGTTCACGTCATTACTGCCGGTATAAGGGTGCTCCATTTTTTGTTGAATCTAGGGTGTCATTGAAATGTGCTCCTTTTTCATACCTATTATTTTTTTATCAGGTGTGTGGTCATGTTCCTTCCCAATTTTCCTTGCTCTTTTACAATTGTTTGTGCTTATGTGGACCTGTGTACATGGACTGTGGCGATTCACGAATATTTTGCTGATGAAATATTTTATCTCGTGAGCCTTTGTATACTCGCCTTTGATATTAACTATGCAGGATGAAGTTTACCAGAAATCTGGTGTTACGCCTGTATGAAGTGCCTCATGGGTTTTTCTACTTTCTATATATTCCCTAGTTGGGGATCGATATTTTGACACATTGCTGCCTAATAAAGAAGGATGAAAAAACTTTATTATTTTTATTATCCTAAGCAGGCATAAACTGGGCATGGGCATGGCATCTAGTCCAATGAAGGACACACACATGAAACTATACATGTTATTTCATTCAAGTTTTTTTAGCACCGTTTACCTAACAGTTGAGGACATTGATGGCATTAATAGGTTATAGTTGGTACGTTTCTAATCGACACCAAGAAGGATATGACTGGTGGAGCTAAAGGTGATGCTACTGCCAGCAAGTTTCCATCACCAATTGGTGGGGCATCAGTTCCAGGTGTAAGCTTCCGAGCACCATTCGATTCTCCTAACCAGAATGTTGGTGGAAATCAATTCATGATTCAGCATAGGAACATGCAGTTCACACCTTCAGATTCCATGGACTGGAGAGGTAAAACAGGTCACGGTGCACTCAATTCTCCAGAAAACGGTGATTATGAGCACATTCCCGAGTAGAGAATGTACCGTTCCAGTTAATATGATGCCCTCTTGAGAGTTGCCATGGTGTACAGGTTTTTATGAGTTTCTCTTTCTTGATGTATTGCTGTAAATTATCTGCCAACTCCTTGCCCTTCAATGCTTGTAGTTTATATCGATGCATCGAGTTGGCCAATACCTTTTAGTACATGAACATTATGTTTGCTATGTAGTAGTGGACAAAGACTAGACAAAACAGTAAATGTGATTTTTAAATACTTTTTATCTCATATATTATTCTCCAAGTCTTGTGTAACTGTAGCATCAGCTATTTTCAATTACTCTAATCCATTTATCTTGAGATTAGAATAGTTGGGACATGTTTGTTATACAATATACTTGTCAAGAATCGTAGTATTTTAGGCAAGATATATTTTTTTTTCGTCCTCGACCAGCTTGGTTGAATAAGAGGTCTAGTAATAAACTCTAAATGAAAATAATTTTTTTTTTTTTTCGTTTTCATATCTCTTGTGTATTACTTTACTATATCTCATTCATTCGAGCAAAGAATATTTTACTTGACTTTGATTGAGAATAATAGATATTTTTAAAATAAAAATAAAACAAGTTTGCCTTGAACTGGCTTGCTTATGGTGTCAATGTTTGGCAATTGTTTATAGAAGTGATAAGTTCAATTACTTTTTATCGCCACATTTTGTAAGATTTCCACGTACTATTATTCTCTTATCTCCATTCATTTTTCTTTATTTTTAATTTAATTATCGAAAAATATTTTTTCATATGAAAAATTTGTGGGAGAGAGAGAAATTAGCTTTTTTTTCATCATAAAAGTCCTACTCTTGTTTTATTAAATAAAAAAGTAGGTAAAAGTTTTTAAAAATTTACTTATAAGCAAGCTCGCTTGATAACAAATAAGTCCTTTGTTTGGATCCACGTGGACCGAATCGATTTTCAAACCGAGTCAAATCGTTTCAAAATGATTTGGTTTAAGTTTCAAATTTTAAAAACCGCAAAACCTCAAACCAAATCGCACTTTTTTAATTAAAAAAATATTTTTATTAAATTATAAATTTTCATATAAATTCTCAAACCAGGTTTTTTTTTTAAAAATAATTGTTAACTTCCAGTCCAAGGGTGAAGTCCAAAACTATTACCAACACTCACTGCCCTAATGTAAAGGCCCACAACCACCACCTAGCCCAATCCAAAAAATTAAAAACATCAAGGTTCCACTTCCAGCTTCATCCACTCATCTAGCCTCCATTTCAATTCATTTTCCCTTGACCTCCGCCTCTGCGTCTCCTCCAGCCAGCCTCCATTTCTTTTCTTGATTTTTGACTTGCAGAACGGTGCGGCTTTGCCAGAGTTAATGGTGAGTTATATTCTTGCTTGGTGATAGTTAGATTTATGCTTATTTGCCTATTCATTCGGGAAAATCCATATTAATAGAGGTGACTTAGGTTGAACAATGCAAAGATATACACACTATTGCGTGAAATCAAATCGAAGAATATTATAGGCCAATCAACAAAACAAAGAACAAATTTATTAAATTTAAATAGGGACGATGTGTCCGTCTTATTGAAAACAGACACAGGCAATCAGAGAAGAATGATTTGGTTGATTATTTGTTTGATCGTTGTGAAGATTTGACAAATCTTAAGTTTGACGTATTAGTTTGGTGAAAATTGAATGCGCAAATACAAAATTGTCTCTAAAATGGCCAAAGATGTATTAGCAATTCAAATATCTACGATCGCTCAGAGTCGGCATTTTCCACGAGTGGTCGGATTCTTGACTCCTTTAGGAGTTCATTGAGTGGAAAAATGGTTGAGAGCCTAATATGCACGAATCAAGAAGTACTAAATTAATTGTCTCGAATTAAAACAAATAAGCAATAGGGTTATTCACGATTTCAATACAAACATTTACATATTAGATAAACACTTTATTTGTTTTGTTAGTTTATGATTAATATAGATTACATACAAATCACTTTTTTTTATATTACCACACTTTGCATTTAATAGTAGCTATTTAACTACAAATTAGACATTATTCCTCGTGGGAACGATATTCTTAACTCACAAATCTTATTATTTGTACAACGATCCCGTACGTTTGCGGGTTTCACGCGAACAAGTTTTTGTGGTTGCATAGCATCAATAAACCTATAGTGCTTCGTCAATATTTGGATGAGGTAGAAGCATTGAATGACTCTGAGAAAGCTGTGGAAGGTGACATTTATTTTAAATTATCAATTTTCATATTTTATACGTATTGTTTTTTAGTTGCTAGTTAATATGATTAATAAGGACTAATAAATATTTTGATATTTGCATATTTTACAGAGGTCGAATCTTGTCACATGTGTTACGACAGGGAATATTGATCCAATTTTTATCAAATGAAATGTTAGTACTCTTGTACTTAGTCTAATATTATTGCTTTTAAAATTTGGAGTGCTTGTTGTTAGATGCTAACTTGATACTATTTTTTTGTCTTTTTGTTTATATATAGAATTTAAAAAAAATATGAATGTAATTTAACATTTAACATTATTAGTTCTGGTTTAAATGTATATGATAACTTGTTTTAAACATATAACTATAATGTCGATAGGTAAATCGCGGAATAAAACCGAATCAAACCACAAATAATGGTTTGGTTTTGTTTAGAAAAATTCCATTTTTCCAAATCGCATGAAATGGTTTGAGTTGAAAATATAATACAAATCGCCCAAATCGAATCGTGTTCACCCCTAAAATATTCTACACGTAATTCAAAATTTTTTCATATTTTTTAACTTCACATTCTTTGGAAAATATTATTTAAAACATAGTTTTTTTAAGTTTGAAGGACACCAAATAGGGGCTAAATTCTAAAAGTAATTTGTAAGCTATATCGTCAAAATAAGCAATCTTTTTTATATTAATTTATTATGTCCAATCATGTTTGTGGTCGTGGAGCTTGCAATTAAACTTGTTCTTATCAACGTAATATTCATTTTAGTGACCAAGTCCGAAATGAAGTGATAAGAACAAGTTTAAAAATGAGTACAGAGAAAAAGTGATTATCAAAATAATCCCTTTTCAAACAAACAAGGACTTAAGATGCGTTACCTTGGTTCATCTCTATTCCAGCAGTGTTGTATCCCTGCAGAGTGCATAGTGGAGGGAAGAAACGGAATTATGAAACCCTAGTTTGTTGGTGGATGGGTGCGACGTGCAAATCTAATAATGGTTATCAGGTACACTTGGTCTCTAGACGAATAAATTGTCCTGGTTGTTAATAGATTTCTTTACATTCCTGTTCTTTGATAACATTGCTTTTAGATTTTTGGGATTTTTATAATATGATTTAACTTTTAACAATTATTAAAATGTTGCATTTACTTAAGACTAGTTATTGATATGTGAAAATTATGAGGTCCCATTTGGAAAGAACCTCTGGGAAGAAGTTCAGAGGCTGAAGGACCTTGAGCAAAAATTATAGAAGCGCTATGGTGACTTATTACAAGAGAAAGAAACGGTTCTAAATCTAATAGACGCATACAGAGTACAAGCAAAAATACAGGAAGAAATTGCTACAAACTGTAAATCAAACTGTTACTTTGAACCTTGAAACTACCAAGACTTTAACCTTTCCAGATGAGGGGAACTCCGTGCTGGTGGACGCTAGACCTGATGGAATACCTTGTCAACAGATGGATGCTGTTCAAGAACATGGAGTGAATATCTTGACAGTTGAAGAAAGCACATCACAAACAGAGCTCGATTCAGACCGCTCCATATCCTTCTCAGGAAGTTTCCATGACCAATGAACTGCCTGTGAAACATGTAGGTGAGACTCTGATGTTTTTGGTTCCTCTAGTGGTGTGGATGAAATCTCAGCAGTTGGAAAGTTTGACGAAACTTCTCTTGGCAAAGAGCTATCTGATATAGTTGACAGGCAGGAGAAGATGACAGGTGATGTCTCGAGCATTTGAATTACTGCCACTGTCTTGGTTCAGAATCAACTTACCGGGGAGGATAACAACAAATAAAGGTCAAGAAAATGGAATGAACGATGTTACTGTAACTGAATCACATGTTGTTCAAGAAACTGCTGGAGATGTTTCTGGCAATGGTGATGTTTTCTAGGTTATTGAATGTCCAGGATCAGGTGAACTGATAATCAAGAGGGAGTGGTTGGATGTTTTAAGGTGCATGGTTGGGGCTGTACCCTCATTATGGTGAGAAACAGTCTTACCACTGGAACTGTTAATGTTTGTATATGGACCTGTATTGTCTACTGAAATTATAAAGCAAAATTTTGAAACATCACAATATTTCATAATCATGATAATAAATAGCATTACTCTTTATAGATGGATTTCATTCTCTCTACCGTGTAGGGACTGTGAATCACCTCACGGTGCCAACGAGTGGGAAATTTATGTGGGAGAATGGGCTTGCCAAACATGCCTTTTAAAGAGAATTATTCGTAATTTTAATTAAAAAAGGTTATGGTTCCGACTTGCTCTGGGCAGTACAGAGATATCTCCACTCTTCTATCAAGTAATTCACTGACTATCGAGTTTGCGCTGGGCATATTTTCACTGTGTTGTTGACATCAAAACTAGTGCAATTATTCTTAGATCACGGTGCTACAGAGTTAAATTGAATGGATGTAAAAACTTTCTCAAAGAAGTACGAGACAACACGAAGGATTTTGCCAGCATAAAGCCGGGTGATCACATGTTTGAAAAACAAAGAAATCTATTTATCAATTATCAATTTATGATATAATATCAAGAACTCGCATTAGTGTGTGAGAAGAAAAAAATGCCACAATATTGCTAAGATGTGATTTATCACATCACTAGCACAAGTAATTTCCAAAAAAAAAAAAAGAGACAAATTCCAACACAAAAAGAAGCTGCATACATATCCTTTAATGCTTTTTTAATTATTGACACTCTGAACCAGTTCATTGAGCTTACACAGCCATAAAATCATGAAAAAAAAGAAAGAATA